ATAATTCAGAGTGTATGTGTCAATGTAAATGTTCACATCTTGTTAATATTATGTGAAGATTGTTGATGTTCTCATTTTACTTTGATGTTTGCTTAATGTTGACATGTTGTTAATATCAATGTGAATGTTCACATCTTCGTATTGTGAATTATGGATTTAGCACTTGAATTGTACGCGTAGTCATCTATTTTTTGCACAATGTGAATTTTCATATCAATTTTTATTACTGTTCATTGTTGTGTTTTTGTGTTTTTACAGGAGATGGATACCTTTATGCTGTTGGTGTGTACATATGGTTGCAGTACAACTGTAATAAATGTTGCCCGCGCAATGTGTTATTCTCGTTTGGTGGAGTGTTTGTGTGAGAAATGGGATGAGTTGTCTGCTGGTTCTATTTCATTGTTCTGTAAACTATTTGGGATTAGTAAGTGTGGTTTGGACAATGAGGAAGAATTTCAGAACATGTTACTGCTTGCTAAATCAATGAGGGTACAACATGTAGAAGTTGTAGTTGAGTTGAAAAGTGATATTGGTCAGTCAAGTAGTTTGGGATTGGAGCGTGTGGGGGTTGAGGAAGAAATTGATGCACTACGGAGATTTTGTCATCATAAGGAGAATGTGTTGTTGTCAGCCCTTTGGGCAAATGGTATTACGCATGTGGGACAACGGTTTGTTGGAGGTGCACAAGAATTTCGTGACGTTTTATGTAAGTATGCCATCCAATGTGGGTTTCAGTTTACATACGTGAAGAACGAGACAATAAGAGTTACTGTTGTGTGTGCGATGCGGGAGGAGAGGGGCTGCTTGTGGGCTATACATTGTAGAGCACAACGAGCAAATGATTTTTTCTACATTAAGAGTTTTAGTGATGTTCATACTTGTGGTACAGATGTCCGAACATCGAAGAATCCGCGAGTCAGTTCGGATTTGGTGTCGAGTACCATATCTGAAATTGTGAGGGACAAGCCGTTGATTGGGCCGTGTGATGTTGTGACTATTTTGAAGAAGGATTATGGGTTAGATGTGAGTTACCATGTTGTATGGTTGGCAGTGGAGAAAGCAAAGGCTGGTATTCATAGAGATCACTCATTATCGTTTGACCAGCTGCGGTGGTATTCGGATACTGTGATGCGGTACAATTCGGGGAGTTATGTCAATATTGACTCTGATGCGAGTAGTCAACAGTTTTGTCGCTTCTTTGTGTCATTCGCTGCGTGTATTTCTGGGTTCAATTCTTGTCGGCCTTTATTATTCTTGGATGGAACATTCCTCAAAGGAAAGTACAAAGGTCAACTACTTGCGGCAACGGCGAAAGACATAAACAATGGTTAGTATTTTTTTTAGTTGTATATTCATGTCAATATTCACATTGACATGCATAATATGGACAAATAAGTGATTGAAAAATTATAAGTTATGTGAACATTAACATTAGTATGCACTGATGTGAATGTTCACATCTATGTCTGCTAATGACAGTAATGTGAACATTCACATTATTATACACTGATCCATTCACATTATTATACATCTGTGTCTGCTAATGACAATAATGTGAACATTCACATTCACATCAGTGTATACTACTGCCAGTTGATCCATTAATGAATAGTATTGTGAATGTTCACATTATCAATTACTGAACAATAAAAAATGAATTATTAATGGTCGTTAATGTGAATGTTCACATCATTGATGTTTATAAACTTGAATCCAGAAATAACAATAGTAATAGGGCAATGTAGATATAAACATTCACATGGCCTGTTTCGTTTATATTGTTTTCTATTCACTTTGGAATATTGTGAACAGTTGCGTATTGGTGTTGTGTTGTAGGTCTGTTTCCTGTTGCATTTGATTGTTGATTCGGAGACCACGGCGAATTGGTCGTGGTTCTTGCATGAACTTGGGAAGGTTGTTGATGGTAAGTGCCAGATTACTTTTATTTCGGATCGTAATCTTGGCCTGTTAGAAGCTATGCCGAAGGTGTTCCCATCGGCTCGTCACGGTTATTGCTTACAACACTTGAAGAGCAATTTAAGAGACCGGATGAAAGGAATTGATAATGGATTCAGGGATCACCTAGTAAGTAGTTTGGGTAATTGTGCTTATGAGCCAACTGTGGTAGGGTTCCATGAAAAGCTTGTAAAATTAAAAGATGAGGGTAAACAACGAGCACATGATTTTTTCAAGGACTTGGCACCTGAGCACTGGGCAAATTCATACTTCAGGTAATAATAGTTTCATAAAGTGTTCCATTTGTCAAGTTCAGAATGGTAGCGATGTGAATTTTCAGTTAAGAATTGTAAAAATCTTCCAATTGTGTTTCATGTTCAATGTCAATGATGTAAATGTTCACATCTGATAATGATGACTGATTTGAATGATGTGAATGTTCACATCTGTTGTCATATTTTGGTGTTGTTAACATTCACATCATTCTGTCATTTAAGTTGATGTTAATGTTCACATCTGTCTATTGTGTAAGTTGATGTTAATGTTAACTACAAATGATGTTAATGTTCACATCAGTCAACGTGAATGTTCAGACCTGTTAAATTTCGTATTGTAAAATATTTGTGATATTGTGCAGGGGCATACGTTATGGGGAGATGACTTCCAATGCGGCAGAGTCATTTAATAACTGGATTAAAGAAGCACGTAATCTTCCTATCACTCAAATGGTGGACACAATTCGTACTCAGTTGATGCGGCAAATTTCTGCACGGCGTGACCAAGCAAACAAATGGAAAGAGCTTATTTGTCCTACATTCGAAACAAGGCTTATGGATTCGTTCAATGACAGCAGGTCTTGGCAAGTTAGCAAAGCCAATAAGAATGTGTTTGAAGTTCATTCGATACCATCTGTTACTGTTGATGTTGCGAGGCGTACATGTTCGTGCTTCAAATGGCAAATCAACGGATTCCCATGTGACCATGCTGTTGTTGCCATTCAGAAGAGCCGCTACAATCTTAATGATTGTGTGGAACATTACTTTCATGTACAGACATATCGTGCAGCGTATTCTGGTGCCATATTCCCTATACGATCGGGGGAGAAGCCGCCTTTTGATCCCATGGACTTCACTATATACCCGCCAACTGTGAAAAGACAACCCGGAAGGCCGAAAAAGAATAGGATCCTATCAAGGGGTGAGAAACGGAAGCAAATAAGGTACGGGAGATGTGATAAGCTGGGGAGCCATAATCGGAAGTCATGCAAGGAGCCGATATAGGATGTACATTTTTCATTTCAACGTTGTGTTTTACATTGGATTCTTACATTCATTTTTGAAATAAGATTGTGTTGTGTTGGCAAGCAAAATAATGGTTTGGCAAACTTAGTATTTCATTTGTGCTTTTTCATTTTCTTTTTGTGTATGAAATTGATATTTTGTTAAAGTTGTAATGATAAATACATGATGTGGACATTCACACTTACGTAAAAGAATCATATTATGTGAAAACTTGCACATGGGTTGAGCTTTTTTACCTTATTGTTGGCAATGTTGACATGAATATAAGCTGTGATGTGAACTTTTACATGCATAAAGATTGACATGGTGTGAACATGCACAACTGTTATGAATGAAAAGAAATGTGAATATTCACACCTGTGTATGTTACCCGTAATGATGTCATGCAAACAATGTGTACATTCTTGCACAAAGTATGTGTATTACATAAAAATCAGGTTCCAAAAATCGCATCAATTATGCTCATCACAACACGGCATTATGAATATCATAAGTGAGTATGAACATTCACATCAGTGTTGCAACTGTGAACATTCACATCTGTCAAACATTAGTGCATATGAATATCATAAGTGAATGTTCACATTTGGCAGAGAATCATAAAACATTCACAACTGTTATGAACAAGAACAAATGTGAATATTCACACTTGTGTATGTGATCCGTAATGATGTGACATAGATATTCCTGCAGAAAATATGTGTACTATAGAACAATCGGGTTCAAACCATCGCAAAAATTATGCTCATCACAACACAGCAGTATGAATGTCATAAGTGAGTATGAACATTCACATCAGTGTTGCAACTGTGAACATTCACATCTGTAAACATTAGTGCATATAAATATCATAAGTGAATGTTCACATTTGGCAGAGAAGAATGACATTTACAACTGTTATGAGCAAGAACAAATGTGAATATTCACACATGTGTATGTGATCCGTAATTATGTCATGTAGACCAAGTGTACACTCCTGCACAAAGTATGTGTATTATAGAACAGTCAGGTTCAAAAATTCGCAGAAATTACACTCATAACAACACAGCAGTATGGATATCGTAAGTGAATGTGAACATTCACATTAGTGGTACAACTGTGAACATTCATATCTATAAAACATAACAACACCAAAAGTAGTTCAAAATTCGCAGCTGGCTTTTTCCCATTAACAGATGTTGTATCACTGTTTTACAATCAGTTATTGTGTCAAAATATCAAGGCATTCCATATTAACATTCAAATCGACTGTTGGTTAGTTTGTAGGTGGACACCCCCCACCTATAGGTTTTAACGAAGCTCTGATTTCTTATGATTCAAAAAACTATACACTAACAAATCTTGTAGTCCACACCATTCTGAACTACTGAGGCTGCCCACAATTTCTTCATGGTATATGTGCGCCCTCATGATGTAACATACTGTAGGTCCGCAGTCCACTCTGTAAATGCGAAATGGTTTTGATTAGCAGTTGACATGAATATTTTCATAATGGTTATGGAGGATTTGAAAAAAATGTAGTGAGGCTTACGCGTCGTCGCCTTGCTGAGGACAAACATCAACACTTTTGATTGGTTGTGTTAGATTTTGGCCTACTAACTTAGTGTATAGAGTGATGACTCGCCAATAACGCTTACAACATGCTCAATGTACTTCCTCTGTGTATGGAATTTGAAGTTAGGCACCAACAAACATATGTGTGTGTACAGTCATTTAATGCATGAGAACAAGTCATGTTTGTGTTCAAAAATAGCCACTTACAACTTCATGTGCTTGGTCGATATGTGGGTCATATATGCTTGTTCTTGGGCGCAATGAGTTGTAATGTCTCCACAAATTGTCTTTAGCATCATACACAACTATCGTCCAGTGGTACTCATAATGCAATGAGAATAGTAGGTATCTCTCTCCTTGGTAGTTTTTGACATGTGCATCAATGTGTTTACTCCTTTTGCGAGGATGGTACTCTCGTATCACTTTCTGTACACATTTGACAAATAATTAATGGACTGTGAAGTTTCACATTCACATTACAAATAATGGAATGATAGATTTTACCAAACACATGCTCGTGAAGATCAATGAGGCTTCATCGGAAGTTGGGTTGACCACCTCTTGTTGTTCATGCAACAGTTCAGCATATGCATCTATGAGCTGCACAAACATGGGGTCATATTATATAGATTTTGTGGATGTGAGTGTGTGTGTGTGTCTGTGTGTGCATATGCATGAAGAGTGAATTATATTTGTAATGGCATACATTGCTGTGTATTGATTCCTCCTTGATAAGGTTGACAATGTCATCAAAATACACATGTGTAGCCTTCGAATCTCCTTTCCACACCAGCAGCCTGTGCATTATTAACAAACCAATGTAAATATTCACATTGCATATATCTCAACAACCCAAAAAAACTGAACACAGTTAGGAATATAGACTATTACGGAATGTGAATGTTAACATTGGATGTTTGCACAGTCACTTACTCATCGCCTCCATTTTTTTGTAAAGCTTGGACCTTTTGTTTGTCATGTTTGGACATCTTGGCCCAGACTTTGAACTTCTTGGTAAAGGATAATTTTTTTGGCTGCTTCGCTGGTGGATGTTCCTCCTCATCTTCAACCATTTCGACTGGATGGGGCTGCTTTTGGCCAGGTAAGTCTGGGTATTGGAAGTCAGGCAGGCGATATTCTTTGCGATCTTTTTCCTTTATACGCTTGACCCTAGAAGGTGGGCTGATATTGTGTTGCATTGGGCTAGGGGGTTGCCTTTCTGACATAGCTTGTGTGACAATGTGGACTGACTGGTCATCGTAAAGATCCTGAAGAATTGTTTTATCGCATTCTAAGTCGATGACCAGCTGTGTTAAGCGTTTGATTTCTTTATCCTTCTGCTCCATGCACTTCTTTATTTCGATATTCACGTTGGGCGGGCTGGACTGGTTAAACAATTTATGTTCAAGATCAGCTATGACTCTTGCCCTTAACTCCCATGAAAATTGAAGGTGTTTGTACTTTGCTTCCCATTGCCTTATGACGCCCCAAGCCTTCCGATTTTCTTGGATAAGGACATCAATGATATCAGGTTGGTTTGTGTCTGGTATTACAATAGCTCTGTCATAATGTTGGCTGCTAAATGGAATGTAAATGTCCTCATTACTGTCGTTTAGCTCCACCACATCCCCAAAAAAGTGGGAGTTGCTGCCATTGTGTTGTTCTCCCTTAATGTCAGAAAGGTTGGGAGATGTTGTGGCTGGTTCATAAATTTCAGGCTCCACCTTCAATGTTTTACGCTTGAACTTTTGTAATTCTGTTGGGATTGCAAAGAGTTCACCGGCATTAACCTGAAAATGAAAAAAATATGTTACTTAACGTATATATTTGGGTGTTGTTATAATGTGAATGTTTTGATCAGTAGTTGAAGGCTCTACCTCATTAAAACCCAAATTAGCTAAAGAGGTGGTTTTTATTTTCTTCTGTAAAGCAGTCAGATCCCACTTCACACAGCGAGGAAAAACATTGGGTTTGTGAGGTTGTAGGATGGTTGTGTGAGACACAACCAGTACTTCAATAAAACAAGAAACACATATTGTTATTTAGCATTTGCATAGTAATGGCAACATATGTGAATATTAATCACAATGGCACTGTTGTCAACATCCCAGTAGTACATTATCATTGAATGTGAACATTCACCTCAGTGGTTCAGATGTGAACATTCACATCTGTGAAACGTAAGTGATGTGGCACTGTTGTGAACATTCACAGTAGTATGTTATGAGTAAATGTCATCATTCACATCAGTGGTTCAGATGTGAACATTCACATCTGTGAAACATAAGTGATGTTGCACTGTTGTGAACATGCACAGTAGTATGTTATGAGTGAATGTGATCATTCACATCAGTGCTTTAGATGTGAACATTCACATTTGTGAAACATAATTACCTATGGAGCAGTGTTGTGAACATTCACAGTAGTATATTATGAGTAAATGTGGACATTCGCATCAGTGATTCAAATGTGAACATTCACATCAGTGGCACTGTTGTGAACATTCACAGTAGTATATTATGAGTGAATGTGAACATTCGCACCAGTGATTCAGATGTGAACATTCACATCTGTGAAATATAATTGCCTATGGACATTCACATCAGTGGTACAGATGTCAATGTTCACAGTTGGCTTAGATGAACAACACTGGAGGACATGTGAATGTTATTATTTGACAACATGGGTACTTACCATCAATAACATGACACAGTCGGTGACTTTTGCTGGATTTTTGTCATTTTGGGAAATAGACGATGTCAATGTTGTCCTAATTTGCTTAACCCAATCATATTCTTGCATGCTTTCCAATGGGACCATATGTGCGTAGTAGCCCCATCCTATTATCTCTCCGCTTGTTGAGAAAAAAAGCTTTTGGTCCATTTTAATGCCAGTGAACTCTTTGCAATCCCAACAGAATTACAAAAGTTCAAGCGTAAAACATTGAAAGTGGAGTCTGAAATTTATGAACCAGCCACAACATCTCCCAACCTTTCTGACATCAAGGGAGAACAACACAATGGCAGCAACTCCCACTTTTCTGGGGATGGGGTGGAGCTAAACGACAGTAATGAGGACATTCACATTCCATTTAGCAGCCGACATTATGACAGAGCTATTGTAATATCAAACACAAACCAACCTGATATCATTGATGTGCTTATCGAAGAAAATCGGAAGGCTTGGGACGTCATAAGGCAATGGGAAGCAAAGTGCAAACACCTTCAATTTTCATGGGAGTTAAGGGCAAGAGTCATAGCTGATCTTGAACACAAATTGTTCAACCAGTCCAGCCTGCCCAACGTGAATATCGAAATAAAGAAGTGCATGGAGCAGAAGGATAAAGAAATCAAATGCTTAACGCAGCTGGTCATCGACTTAAAATGCGATAAAATAATTTTTCAAGATCTTTACAATGACTAGTCAGTCCACATTGTCACACAGGTTGTGGTAGAAAAGCAACCCCCTAGCCCAATGTAACACAATATCAGCCCACCTTCTAGGGTCAAGCGTATAAAGGAAAAAGATCGCAAAGAACATCGCTTGCCTGACTTCCAGTACCCAAACTTACCTGGCCAAAAGCAGCCCCATCCAGTCGAAATGGTTGAAAATGTGGAGAAACACCCACCAGCGAAGCAGCCAAAAAAATTATCCTTGACCAACAAGTTCAAAGTCTAGAGCAAGATGTCCAAACAAGACAAACAAAAGGTCTAAGCTTTACAAAAAAGTGGAGGCGATGAGTAAGTGACTGTACAAACATCTAATGTAAACATTCACATTCCGTAATAGTCTATATTCATCACTGTGTTTAATTTTTTTGGTTTGTTCAGATCTGTGCAATGTAAATATTCACATTGGTTTGTTCATAATGCACAGACTGCTGGTGTGGAAAGGAGATTCAAAGGCTACACATGTGTATTTTGATGACATTGTCAACCTTATCAAGGAGGAATCAATACACAGCAATGTATGCCATTACAAACATAATTCACTCTTCATGCATATGCACACACAGACACACACACACTCACAGCCACAAAATCTATATAATATGACCCCATGTTTGTGCAGCTCATAGATGCATATGCTGAACTGTTGCATGAACAACAAGAGGTGGTCAACCCAACTTCGGATGAAGCCGTATTCATCTTCAGGAGCATGTGTTTGGTAAAATCTATCATTCCATTACTTGTAATGTGACTGTGAAACTTCACAGTCCATTAATTATTTGTCAAATGTGTATAGAAAGTGATACGAGAGTACCATCCTCGCAAAAGGAGTAAACACATTGACGCACATGTCAAAAACTACCAAGGAGAGAGATACCTACTATTCCCATTGCATCATGAGTACCACTGGACGATAGTTGTGTATGATGCTAAAGACAATTTGTGGAGGCATTACAACTCGTTATGTTTCTGTCATCATTCGCATTAGTGATTCAAATGTGAACAGTGTGAATGTTCACATACAATGATAATGTACTACTGTGAATGTTTACCACACTGCTCCGTAGGCAATTATGTTGTCACTACTGTAAATGTTCACATCTGAAGCAGTGAATGTGACTGATCACATTCACTCATAACATACTACTGTGAATGTTCACAACAGTGCCACTGATGTGAATGATCACAACAGTGCCACTGATGTGAATGATCACAACAGTGCCACTGATGTGAATGATCACAACAGTGCCACTGATGTGAATGATCACAACAGTGCCACTGATGTGAATGATCACAACAGTGCCACTGATGTGAATGATCACAACAGTGCCACTGATGTGAATGATCACAACAGTGCCACTGATGTGAATGATCACAACAGTGCCACTGATGTGAATGATCACAACAGTGCCACTGATGTGAATGATCACAACAGTGCCACTGATGTGAATGATCACAACAGTGCCACTGATGTGAATGATCACAACAGTGCCACTGATGTGAATGATCACAACAGTGCCACTGATGTGAATGATCACAACAGTGCCACTGATGTGAATGATCACAACAGTGCCACTGATGTGAATGATCACAACAGTGCCACTGATGTGAATGATCACAACAGTGCCACTGATGTGAATGATCACAACAGTGCCACTGATGTGAATGATCACAACAGTGCCACTGATGTGAATGATCACAACAGTGCCACTGATGTGAATGATCACAACAGTGCCACTGATGTGAATGATCACAACAGTGCCACTGATGTGAATGATCACAACAGTGCCACTGATGTGAATGATCACAACAGTGCCACTGATGTGAATGATCACAACAGTGCCACTGATGTGAATGATCACAACAGTGCCACTGATGTGAATGATCACAACAGTGCCACTGATGTGAATGATCACAACAGTGCCACTGATGTGAATGATCACAACAGTGCCACTGATGTGAATGATCACAACAGTGCCACTGATGTGAATGATCACAACAGTGCCACTGATGTGAATGATCACAACAGTGCCACTGATGTGAATGATCACAACAGTGCCACTGATGTGAATGATCACAACAGTGCCACTGATGTGAATGATCACAACAGTGCCACTGATGTGAATGATCACAACAGTGCCACTGATGTGAATGATCACAACAGTGCCACTGATGTGAATGATCACAACAGTGCCACTGATGTGAATGATCACAACAGTGCCACTGATGTGAATGATCACAACAGTGCCACTGATGTGAATGATCACAACAGTGCCACTGATGTGAATGATCACAACAGTGCCACTGATGTGAATGATCACAACAGTGCCACTGATGTGAATGATCACAACAGTGCCACTGATGTGAATGATCACAACAGTGCCACTGATGTGAATGATCACAACAGTGCCACTGATGTGAATGATCACAACAGTGCCACTGATGTGAATGATCACAACAGTGCCACTGATGTGAATGATCACAACAGTGCCACTGATGTGAATGATCACAACAGTGCCACTGATGTGAATGATCACAACAGTGCCACTGATGTGAATGATCACAACAGTGCCACTGATGTGAATGATCACAACAGTGCCACTGATGTGAATGATCACAACAGTGCCACTGATGTGAATGATCACAACAGTGCCACTGATGTGAATGATCACAACAGTGCCACTGATGTGAATGATCACAACAGTGCCACTGATGTGAATGATCACAACAGTGCCACTGATGTGAATGATCACAACAGTGCCACTGATGTGAATGATCACAACAGTGCCACTGATGTGAATGATCACAACAGTGCCACTGATGTGAATGATCACAACAGTGCCACTGATGTGAATGATCACAACAGTGCCACTGATGTGAATGATCACAACAGTGCCACTGATGTGAATGATCACAACAGTGCCACTGATGTGAATGATCACAACAGTGCCACTGATGTGAATGATCACAACAGTGCCACTGATGTGAATGATCACAACAGTGCCACTGATGTGAATGATCACAACAGTGCCACTGATGTGAATGATCACAACAGTGCCACTGATGTGAATGATCACAACAGTGCCACTGATGTGAATGATCACAACAGTGCCACTGATGTGAATGATCACAACAGTGCCACTGATGTGAATGATCACAACAGTGCCACTGATGTGAATGATCACAACAGTGCCACTGATGTGAATGATCACAACAGTGCCACTGATGTGAATGATCACAACAGTGCCACTGATGTGAATGATCACAACAGTGCCACTGATGTGAATGATCACAACAGTGCCACTGATGTGAATGATCACAACAGTGCCACTGATGTGAATGATCACAACAGTGCCACTGATGTGAATGATCACAACAGTGCCACTGATGTGAATGATCACAACAGTGCCACTGATGTGAATGATCACAACAGTGCCACTGATGTGAATGATCACAACAGTGCCACTGATGTGAATGATCACAACAGTGCCACTGATGTGAATGATCACAACAGTGCCACTGATGTGAATGATCACAACAGTGCCACTGATGTGAATGATCACAACAGTGCCACTGATGTGAATGATCACAACAGTGCCACTGATGTGAATGATCACAACAGTGCCACTGATGTGAATGATCACAACAGTGCCACTGATGTGAATGATCACAACAGTGCCACTGATGTGAATGATCACAACAGTGCCACTGATGTGAATGATCACAACAGTGCCACTGATGTGAATGATCACAACAGTGCCACTGATGTGAATGATCACAACAGTGCCACTGATGTGAATGATCACAACAGTGCCACTGATGTGAATGATCACAACAGTGCCACTGATGTGAATGATCACAACAGTGCCACTGATGTGAATGATCACAACAGTGCCACTGATGTGAATGATCACAACAGTGCCACTGATGTGAATGATCACAACAGTGCCACTGATGTGAATGATCACAACAGTGCCACTGATGTGAATGATCACAACAGTGCCACTGATGTGAATGATCACAACAGTGCCACTGATGTGAATGATCACAACAGTGCCACTGATGTGAATGATCACAACAGTGCCACTGATGTGAATGATCACAACAGTGCCACTGATGTGAATGATCACAACAGTGCCACTGATGTGAATGATCACAACAGTGCCACTGATGTGAATGATCACAACAGTGCCACTGATGTGAATGATCACAACAGTGCCACTGATGTGAATGATCACAACAGTGCCACTGATGTGAATGATCACAACAGTGCCACTGATGTGAATGATCACAACAGTGCCACTGATGTGAATGATCACAACAGTGCCACTGATGTGAATGATCACAACAGTGCCACTGATGTGAATGATC